TGAGACAAAGTATATTATGTGAACTGCTGTATGAAAAGTGAATTTATTCTGTAAATCTTCACCCAAATCAAAATAAAATTAAAAAAAAAATTGGCTGTTAAAATACACACAGAGATATTTATAAAATGAGGCACATGTATACAAAGAAACATATATACATATACTGGGTATACATGTTGCCTGAAAATAGGTATTTACCACTTAAACAGTAAAAATTATTATTTAGACACTATAGGCAACTACTTAATAATGCTAAATATGTTGGTTTAACAAATTCCCATATAACAAATAAGAAAAGCATATACAAGTTCTTAATAGAATAATCCCTACTTCTTTTAATTCTTGTTAATGTCAACATATTTGTTATGTCCATCTGAAAACTATAAATGCTAATCAATGACTGTAAATGAATTAATTATATTTTAATAAATTATAGCTCTGAGTGTTTAGAATAAGTATACAATGAATACATGCTATTGTTTCCTAGGTTTTTTTTTATAACCTAATATCTTTTTCTCTCTCAGAACTTACCTCTCTAAGAATTAACAGAAAATAGTCAATAATATATTTTAGAATTAAAGTATCATAAAAATACATTAAACCAAAAAAAACAAACTCACTGCCATTGAGTTGGACCTGACTCACAGTGACCCCTCCTTGGTTTTCCGAGGCGGTATCACTACAGAAGTAGCTTGCCCAGTCTTCCTTCTGAGGAGTGGCTGGTGGGTTTGAACTGCCAGCCTTCTGGTTAGTAGTCAAATGCCTTAGGTACTACACCACCAGAGCTCCACAAAACACATTACATCATGTTATATGAAAGAAAAATTTAGAAATTTAAGTATCAGGAGCTAATGATATCTTCTTCACTTTAAAACTGACATTTATAGAAGGTGCTTTCCAATTTGAATATTGCATTTTAGAGAATCATATGGATAACAAAGATACCATTTTTTTTCCACATAAAAATTTATTCATCATGCTAAATATAATCAAAATTCTCCAATATTAAGGTAGAACACATTAAACAAAAATATTTAGATGTTAATACTTGAGGATAGACAAGCAATTGAACATAATGTGATGGGACAAAAACAGAGAACTCAATAGCAAGACCATCATTAGGTTATAATTTTAAATAAAGATTTTCTAGTTAAGGGTAGCTGCCATAGAAGGTTTCTGCATTCACAGAATAATTATTTTACTGAAGGGCTTCTTTTAGGTCATACAATCAGCATTCACTACCAATATGCTGTTATTAGGCAATTCTAACATATGAAAATATGTTAGACACTTAATATGTGAAAAAAAAACTACTTCCATGAGGGCAGAGATTCTTGGTTTAGTTTTAGGTAGGGTTTTAGTACAGCTTCACGGGCCTTCTTCTCACCACCACCCCCAATTTTTATTGTGATTTGGGTGAAAGTTTACAGAGAAAATTCACTTTCCATACAACAGCTCACATACACTTTGTCTCATGACATTGATTACAATTTACCACAATGCACCAGCTCCCCTCCCACTTCCTCCCCATAGTTTCCACTTCCTTATGTCCTTCCCTCCCATGCACTCCTGCCCCCTGAGCTATTTCCCTGAGCATAAGCAGCCCTTCTGTTCTCCCATAATTCATCTCTCCAAGGAGTGTATCTAGCTAATGTAAATGCTCATATGCCTGTCTTTTGTTTGGCTGGAAGCCACAAGAGTGGCAGACTTGAAGGGCAGCTAGGGACCATAGTCTCAGGAGTTCCATCAGGTGCCATCACACCAGCAAACCTGGTCCCATTTTTTTAAAAATGAGTTTTGTTCTCCCATTCTATCCAGGATCTCCTACATGGATCCCCCTTTGAGTGTTTGACAGTAGTAGCCAGGCACCATCTAGTTCTGGTCTCATAATCATATAGGCTGAGGATTACATGGTGTACCAGCTGCTTGGACTAATTGTTTCCAAGTGTCCTTGGTTTTCTTCACTCTTCTTTGCTCTGGGTCAGGAGAGACTCATCGTTGCATCTAGATGGCTGCCTGCAAGCTTTTAAGATCCCAGTCGCTACTCACTAAAGTAGGATGTGGAACAATGTTTTTTGTGTAGTATGTTATGCCAATAGAGCTTGATGTCCCCTCCAACTATGGTCCCAAGCCCACAGGTCCAAGTACTCGCTCCCTCTGGGTAGCTGGCTGTGGCTAAGAAGTGGCTACAACCTTGTCCCTTGTCAGCTCTACTATATACCTGGGAATTATTAAACATACAAACATACTTTTAGAAACACTGTCTGCCAACCCTATACATGGTCTTGGGCACACTGCCCCCTGCATAGACATACCTAATAGTTCAGCCTGTCTACCCATCTAGCCACCCATATATAAATGTTTGCCTTCACTGACAACACAGTACTGTATGTGCAAAATGGTTCATCTTTGTTGCCTCTACCTCCCACACAACTCTCCATGTCCTCCTCTTCCTCAACACCACCATGTTGATCACTCACATTTGGTATATTGCCCCTCTCTTCATCCAAATCAATATTTGTCTCTACCTATCTAACAGTGTTCCCTCCTCTTCCCTCCCATCCCTGGTAACCAACAAAGAAAATTTCCTTCCATATATAAATCTTCCCTTGACTTTTTACAATAATGAACTAATACAGTATCTGTCCTTTGGTGATTGACTTATTTTACTCAGCATAATGTCCTCCAAGCTCATACACATTATGCAGTGTTTTGCCGATTCTACATTACTCTTTAGGTTTGTATGGTTTTCCACTGTGTGTATGTACCATAGATTGGTTATCCATTCTTCAGTTGGGCACCTAGGTTGTTTCCATCTTTTTGCTATTGTAAATAGGGCTATGGTGAACATGGGTGTACATATATCTGTTCTTGTCCTGGCTCTCACTTATTTAGGATCTATACCTAGTAATGGAATGGGTGGGTCAAATGGTAATTCTAAGTTTTTAAGGAATAGCCATACTGCTTTCCATAGTGGTTGTATCATTTAACAGTCCCACCAGCAGCGTATGAGAGTCCCAATCTCTCTGCATCCTCGCCAGCATTTGTTATTTTCTGTCTTGTTGAACTTTGCTATTAGTGCTGGATCAAGATAGTATCTCATTATTGTTTTGATTTGCATCTTTCTAATGGCTAATGATCGTGAGCATTTTTTCATATGTTTGTTGGCCACCTGAATATCCTCTTTGGTGAAGTGTCTATTCATGTCTTCTGCCTATTTTTAATTAGATTATTTGTCTTTTTGTTGTTGAGGTGCTGGTTTCCTATAAATACTAGAGATAAGTCCCTTGTCAGATATGTCATTGCTGAATATTTTTTTCCTAGTCTATAGGTTCTCTTTTGACTCTTTTGGTTTTCTAGGTATAGGATCATATCATCAGCAAATTGGGATAGTTTGACTTCTTCCTTACCAATCTGGATGCCTTTGATTTCCCTTTCTTGCCTTATTGCCTTGGCTAGGACTTCCAATACAATGCTGAGTAGAAGTGGTGATAGAGGGCATCCTTACCTGGTTCCTGTTCTCAAGGGGAATGGTTTCAGTCTCTTCCATTGAGAATAATGTTGGCTGTTGACTTTGCATATATGCCCTTTATTATGTTGAGGAAATGTCCCTTCTATTCCTATTTTGCTGAGAGTTTTTATCAGGAATGGGTGTTGGATTTTATCAAATGCCTTTTCTGCATCGATTGATATGATCATGTGGTTCTTTTCCTTTATTTACAAGGCAGATGATGTTGATTGTTTTTCTAATGTTGAACCATCCTTGTATACCTGATATGAACCCCACTTGGTCATAATGAATTATTTTTTTGATATGCTGTTGGAGTCTATTGGGTAGAATTTTGTTAAAGATTTTTGCATCTATATTCATGAAGGATATTGGTCTGTAGTTTTCCTTTTTAATGATATTTTTGCCTGGTTTTGGTATCAAGGTTATGTTTGCTTCATAAAATCAATATGGGAAGATTCCATCCTTTTCTATGTTTTGGAATAGTTTGAGTAAGACTGGTATCAGTTGTTTCCTGAATGTTTGGTAGAATTCTCCAGTGAAACTGTCTGGACCAGGACTTTTGTTTCCTTCTTCTCATTCTTAAAGACATGGGGGAGCACTTTTGCTTTATGTCCATCTTACTCCTGCAGTGTCTGGGTGTCCAGGAAAGCAAAGGGAGCACTGGAGTGTGTTCTCAGCCCACTCTGCCACTAACCAGCTATGACACTTAAAGGGCACGTGATGTGACCATTCTAGTTTTCAAGTTCCTCATCTGTAAAGTTTGGCAACTGTAATAAATAAAATGCTATAGCCTTTTTCTATTTTGTAATCTTATATTCATAATCCACTCCAGAATTCTTTCTTAAAGCTAGTTCTCTAAGGCCACTTAAAACATGATTTGGTTGACACAAATTTTGTTTACTTCAAACATTTAGAAACATATATAGAATTCAAAATCAGAGACACATTTAGCATTTTACACTTTGGGACAATATTTTAAGACAGGCAGAAACTTTATATTTGTAGAAAATAAAATATGTAACCTTAGAAGAATACAGACACACCTTACTTCCTATACTAATTTTCATAGCTTATTTTAATGGTCAAATTCCCATGTATAAATTTCATTTTATTTTTGTAGTGAAGGAAATTTGTGATATCCTTCATCATGTGCATTTACTCTCTACAGCAATCACACATTTAATTGTCTCTCTCCCTCACTGAATGGTAAGCTCCCCGAGGATATGCTTGAATGAACATATAGAGACTGAAATCTGTACCATCTGATTCTCAATCCCCCTGCAGTTTCCCCACATGCCTTCTACTCCCCTCCTTGATCAAAACTGCAGGTTTTCTTATCAAAAGCTAAACACTATTGGATCCAAAATTGTCCCTAAGGAATTCAGTGTGGTTGCTGTATGTCGATGAGTTGATTCTGACTCATATAATCCTTTATAATGAGAATTATATAATTTTAGAATAGGGTGCCACCAAGGATAAATAAACTTACCTGGGCAAGCTTACGCTTTTCTAGGTTTTCTCCCTTTTCATTGTGTAACGTGTAAATTGGAGTATATTGTACAGAACCAGAACAGGCTCCATAATCTTCCTCATTGTCCTACTCATGAAAAAATATACAAGTAATTAGTTTAAAATATTTTTTAAAATTACTAGTTATTTGATTAATATGCAAAGTATTTGATACTAATGCAAATCAAGTAACATTTCAACTATAAGTTTAAAGAGCCTATTTGGGAAGAATATGTATTTTTTTAACATGAACTAAAACACTAATTCCCAAAATAAGTTCTATTTTGAAAATCTGAATAAAACTTATATGAAAATAATTTGCTATCATTACACTGGAAGAATTAGGTGTTCCTTTTTCTTCAAATGTAGAGATCCAAAACATAACCTATGATAATACCCTCAGAGATGTAATGTGTAATCTAATCAAATACATACAAATAAATATTCATCTCACTGCCATGGAATAGGACCCGACTCATAACGACCCTTCCTTGGGTTTCCGAGGCCATATCGCTACGAAAGGAGATTGCCCAATCTTCCTTCCAAGGAGTGGCTGGTGGATTTGAACTACTACCCTTCTGATTAGCAGTCAAATGCCTTAGGCACTATGCCAACAGAGCTCTTTAAATATTCATATGCATATACATACAATATTCACAGATTTAAATACAAATGTTCATATATCATCTTATAATTAAAAATATGCTTCAATTATTGGAAAAACCCTATAAAACTAAATGATGACATTCTTGGCTCAATTCTACAATAAAGATTATCTTTTTTTTTTTTTTTAAGAGAAAACCATTCTCAGCTTGAAACACGAACTTCAATTGTGATATCAAGGCAATCAACTTTATGAAAACATACATTCTGTTAAAGCATCTTTGAAGATCTCTGTAGCTCTGTGATAAAATATGCAAACAATAAAGAGATTATTCAGTGGATGCATATAGACTGGCAGATAGTTGCCAGAGGGGTTGTTATGAAAAATACATTCTTGAACAAAGGGCTAAGCATATTTCAAAAGTCATTAAAAACATAAATCTCATGTGATTTGTAAAGTATAAGCTTCACACTAATGCAAGAATCAAGACAGAATGAAAGGAAGACTATGACGTACCTTGTGTTTTAGCTTACTTTTCACTTCCTTTATTCCCTGCTTTGCATGATTTTTTGCCTAGAAAATGATAACACAAGTGTCTGGCTCAGCATGGTACTACTACTATTTAAAGGGTAAGTACACGAGATCACATTTAATGAAAATTACTAACTATTCATATTATTTAGAAAAAGAACAGATTATCATCTATTTTCAGGGACACTGTACCACTTACTAATATACCTAAATTAGCTGGTGAAAAAGTGATTAGTCTTTGTTTGTATATTAATACCATATAAGGGTAACATTTAGCCTACTTTGCCCCCTAAGGTACAGAGAACACAAAGAAAGTCGAGTCAATGGAATTACCACAGCCTCAGCTTAATTTGAAATTGTGACAAACTGGGGAGAAGAACAGAAAACACTTAATACCAGCAGGCTACCTGAGCAAAGTTTGGATTTTAAGAAACTCAAGACAACTTTGTAAAGCCTTATCCAAGTGTTCTTATAGACAGATTTTTATTAGCAGACTCATCTTCATGGTATGGTTATTTAATCTCTAGTCATTCTGGTAAAAATTAAAAGTCATTTAACAATTTAAAAGCTATCCTAATGTTCACAGGAAATCTTCATTTGAGAGTCTCAGATTCTGTTGTGAATCCTGTGGGGTGTAGTTTAACTAAAGACAACCATGATCTGTGGGGCTTCCAGAAAAGCCTTTGTTCATTGGAAATTCCAACTCACAGTGGTCAGAGTCAAAAAGAGAAAAAGGAATTCACATTTATTTTGAGTTTCCTAAGAAAATGACCTTGTACACACTGGGTACTTAGCTCACATCATCTCACGTAGTCAGCACAACTACCCTATAAAATGAGTAGTATTACTATAGCATTTTACAAAGAAAAACGAGGAAAGAACTTGGAAAGGATAAATTCATGCAGCCGAGATTCAAACTCAGGTCTATTTGATTCCAAAGTCAAATTCCTTCCCACCTCAGAGTGGAAGGAGGAACTATGATTTTAAAAATACATTGACGGAATTTAAGCCTCAGTATGAGCCTCATTCTACAGACATGGAAAGTGAGGGGCTACAGACTCACAATTTTCTAACTCCAAAGTCCTTGCTCCTCCTACTAAACCATCCTGCTTTTCTCAAGCTGCTTCTAGAAAGAGTAAATAAATGTCTTTCCTTCCCAAGCTCTTGAGGGAAGGATCTTATTTCCTTCCTGTTAATTTCTGTAATATCTACCATAGTATTAGGTATATAGTACCTGCTCGAGAAATGTCTCAAATCAACAAAACAATTATTTTTTACTATAAATGAGACAAACAAAGACACACTACACATACATAGCAGAAGAGAATCTGAGAAGCCAAACAATACTGAATTAATTACCTTTCCATCGTTCTTTTAGTTAATAATGCATTTTCATATTCATTATTTTATTTATAAAGTTTTTATATCTACTTAATGGGTTCTACATCAATCCCTGTATTTCAACCAGGTCAAACTAATTACCAAGAGAAAATGCTAGTGTTCCCATCCCTTACAATTTGTAGCACTTTTGCTCACACTTGAACTGTATTTTTGTTTTACCTAACTATACCCTACTCTTTCAAAACTCTCCTGATTCACACTAATCTTTTCAGATGCCCCTGCGTGTATACAGTTATAGCTGGTGTCAGTCTCTTCCCTGGTTCTATAATTTGTGAATGGATTGATTTAAATATCTGTTGCTCTACTTCCCCTTCGACCTCATCAAGACTCTCTGGAAGATGGAGTATAGGCTTCTCTCTATCCTTTTACCAAGCTGAAACTTGGTAAAACACAAGTACTACCAATACAAATTGAAATGTAACAATGTTTAGTAATCTCTATAAAACAGCACCAAGAAAATGGCCTTGGATAAGAATTTAAAATGCAAAGAGTGCCTAAGGCACTTGACTGCTAACCAGAAGGCTGGCGGTTCAAACCCACCAGCCACTCCTTGGAAGGAAGATGGGGCAATCTACTTCCGTAGTGATACTGCCTCGGAAACCCAAGGAGGGGTCGCTATGAGTCGGGTCCAACTTGATGGCATATAACAACAACAACAAGAAAGTTGGCTTAGAAAACCTTTTAGGCAAATTGAAGATGCAATTCACTTTGCTGTTATAGATTTAAAAGAAAGTATGTGTGCCAGTTCTCGTTTTCTTTATGGCCCCTGTAAACATGGAGTGGGGGGGACTGACCATGGGACAACATCACTATTTACTTCAACAAATACTTATCAGTACATCTATAGTATGTTCAAAGCACAGAGCCAAAGTGATAGGGATACCAACATAAAAGCAAGGACATTATCTCTTCTACTCTCGGTATTTGTCTTACTCACTGCTCTAGCTTCAATATCAAGTATAATGCTTAGTTCATGATAGGAACTCAAGTAATTTGTCTAATGAATGAAACAGAGGTAAAAACAGTGTTCTGGCTTTTTAAAAATTTACTAAATATGGAAAAGCAAGGTAAATTTTCTGTTATTTCCATACAACAGAAACTAGGAATCTTGTTCATAGCAGTTTGTGGTCAAAGGAAGAATTTCAGAACACAGATTTCAGAATCTGAACAGTTCTGGAAAAGGAAGTTTTAGATACAAATATGAAGGCCACAAATTGACCTATGTATCTGCCACAAATCTCTTGGTTCATGTAGGACATGATAAATGATGAGTGTGATTAAGTACATCCCAAAGATCTTAATCTTCCTGGAATTATTTGAAAGGATAATTTTCCAAATAGTAGGATTCTTCATTTGGAACCCTTTCACCACTTTGCAGAGAAGGGTCTGAAATTACATACTCTACTGATTAGAAGGATGAAGTTTTAAATAATGAATGAGGTTTGAACATGTTTGCTTTATCTTTGTGCTTTTGTGGAATAATATGAGTGAGCGTGAGGATAAAAAACATGTATTTGGCAAAAACAATACACTTTAACTTCTTAAGCTTGGAGAAAAATGTCAAGTGTACTCTAGGAAAAAGTGAGGGGTACTAGACTGAAATCTTTTTGAGAATCTTAATTGAATCTGAGAAACAAGCTTCAACAACTGATTTTTTTCACATAGCAGCTGTATGCTACTTCGTTGTGGAAAATTAAAATCTCTTCAAGAACTGTATTTAAATCAAGCCATCAGCATTATTATGAGATAGTGACTCAGATACATAGGTGGCCAAGTAAAGCTAAGGAACAACCTAACAAAAGGAGGAGGCTGATGCTTACAAGGCAAAGTGATAACTTTCTTTTTTTAATTTTGCTTTATGATAAGCCTTCAAATAGTTCAAATAGTATTGTATTTTTAAATTAACTCTCTAGGTTAGCTTCCCCATTATAAAATGTAATCTTTGAAATTGTTTTTTTAAGATAGACATGGTGACTACATATATATGAAAACTGTACATCAAGGAAAGAATGTAAGGCCTAAACTTATGAAAAATATATTCTATTATTTATTCAATCATGTCAACTCATTTACTGAGAAAAATTTGAAGATAAATTCTTATAAAATCGAAACTACTATCCTAAATATTTTTAGAAATATTGATTATGTATAACCTGTTTTAGTTTTCTATAGCTGCTATAACAGAAATACCACAAGTGGATGGCTTTAACAAAGAAATGTATTCTCTTACAGTTCACTGGAAGTCTAAGTTCAGAGTGCCAGCTCTAGGAAAAGACTTTCCCTCTCTGGATTCTGGGTGGAGGCCCTTTGACCTTGGGCTTCAGCTTTGTCTTCCAGCCCCACTGGAGCAGCCTGGAGGATTCTCCTACTCTTGCAGCAGCAGGGGCTGACAGACTCAAGATTGGCAGATGGTATAGCAGGTTGCTGGCTGCTGAGGTTGATAAACCCAAGACTGGCACGTAAAATGGCACATTGTTGACTCACAAGCTGCAAAGCAAATAATCCCAAGATCGGCAGGCAACATGACAGCCCACTGGTTCAAGTCCAGGAAGTAGAGATGATGATGGGCCAAATTCAAGGTCCTTAATATATATCCTGGAAGCAGGCCACACCCCAAAGACAACTTCTCTTCAACTGATAAACTGCTAACAAGAGATTCTACTATGAAGGTGATTATACCACATCCAGTCTCATCATGGGTTATGAATACATCATAGCTGCCAAGCCACTCAAAATCAGGCCAGCATGTTGACATACAACCTTCACTACCACATGACCCATTGAATTAAAAAAAAAAAAAAAAACTTTATTAAATACCAACCTATTATATGATAGAATAGGTATGGAAATATAAGGTACAGCTCCCCTCACAGGAAGCTACTTGTCTAGTTTTAGTGATAGATACATACAAAGACAAAGTAAGTGCTAAAACCAAGGTATGTCTATAAGTCCTACAGGAACACAGAAGGTGGTATATTAATTCTTTTCTACTAGGCTTGGGAAAATGTTTTCAGGGAAAAAAATCCTGAAGTAAGTCTTATAGAAGGAACTGGTATTTTATAGGTTAATAAGGGCCAAGAAATGGCCACCACAAATAATAAGAATGGCTCATGAAAAGAGAGGACAAAGAGAACATCTTGAAGTTAGGAATTGAGAAACAGCTCCGTATCTTTAAAGATATGTAAGGCCCCAGGGAATAGGGGGTGATGAAACTGGACTGGAGGGGCCAGGTCTTGAAGGATCTCGGTTGCCAGTTTAGAGATTTTTTTTTAATTGTATTTATTGCTGTTATTATTATTTTACTATATTTCATGGAAAATCACTTAAGAATTTTAATTATGGAGAGCAAAGTCACCTTTGGCTTGATGGAAGAGATCATGCCATATATTTCTATTTGAATCTCAAGTATACAATGAGAATTTAAAATATGTTGTTGAATGAGATAATTAAATCTTAAAAATGCATCTTATCATGGCCTGCTTTAATATGCATGCACAGTTTTTGCTGATAGCTTCCAAAAAAATATATACTTTAGATTATATAAAGAAGTATCTTCTCTATATAATATCATGTTAACAATTGAATTTCCTTTGGTTGATATTAACTCTAAACTGAAGAATAAGCTATATGAAAGAAAATTAGAAAATATTCTGAATTCTTATGTTAACCAGATAGAAAAACATATAATATTATCAACAGAATTTTTAAATATCAAAAGAAAACAACTTACAAATTTATATGCTGTCCTTACAGCAGGAGTTGCTTTGGTCATTGCTGTGTTGAGCAGTGCACTTCCTTTCTGCAAAGGAAAAAAAAAAAAACATATTTCCAAATTTTTTTTGACCAAAACAAAACATCACTAAGAGTATAGAAAAAGAGCTTTACTCACAAGTTACACAAGGTTCTACAAAATGATTTAATATATACTGTCTTCATATAGAGTCATGCATTGCTTAATGTCCACAATATGTTCTGTGAAATAGGATGTTACGTGATTTGGACATTATATGAATACCTAGTTTATCTAGGATTTCAGCAAATTATTCTGCTGCCTTTTATCAGCACTTACAGTCTCACCACTCACTCTCACATTCTGTAGCAAAGGATATTGTCTGAAGTACTTGAAGCACCCAGAGCTAGCACTAAACTTAGTATCATAGTCTGGTCCTGCCTTTGCCTTTAAGTATCTCAAAACAAGCTTTGTGCCTTGGAAGTGATGTCAATGTGCTGAGAGGGACTGGATTTTGTGTTTGGTCCTCGGTGTACAACATGAGCAATTTCTCCATATCTGATAGAGGTCCCTCTTGTATTTTCATTAGCCTTTATAGCTTTCAGTGAAGATGATCTTTCAACAGCTTGGAGAATTTTTTCTTTGTTTTTGAGGTTAAATTTGCTAAATCCCATTCTCTGATTGGGATTTCTGAACTCTACTATTACCTTATGAGACCACGGATGTGTATGCAGTCAGACTTTGCCTAAACAGATATTATGTGGTGTATGACTGCATATATATTTACAGGTACGTGTCACTTAACATTCACAATATTGTCCGTGAAATAGGATATTATGTGATTTGGATGCATAAACATCATATTTAAATCTAATGGGAGCCCACTTCCTGTTATCCTCAATGCCTCTGCTGCTGCTGCTCAAGCTGCTGGTAGAGGCTGGAGGAACGGGTAGCAGCAGCATTACTAGTAGCAGGGTATCGACAGGGTAGCAGTGAGTGCAGAGCAAGAAGAAGTGAGTGGGGAGGGTATGGTACATCTGCTGTTCTGCCTGCCCACCAGAGCACCAGGACCAGCCCAGGCCCCACAACTCCCACTTCTGCTGCCCTCCTGCTCACTGTACAAAGCCCAAGAGTCCACATTCAGAGCCATGTCCTCTGCCTCACCTGCTCATATCCCACTCATGGTCCAGTGCTACAAGAGACTGGATTTCGGATCTTTAAAACCAAGAAGGGAAAATAATAAACAAAAAGAGAACTTCTTTCCCTTTTAAAGAAAAACATATAAAACTGTTTATTGTTGTTGTTGTTAGATGCAATCAGATCAGCTGCAACTCACAGTGACTCTATGTACAACAGAACGAAACACTGCCTGGTCATGCACCATCCTCATAATCCTAGCTGTACATGAGCCCATCATTGCAGCCACTGTCTCATTCCATCTCATTGATACATATCAAGTCAGACATTGCCCAAATAAACATTAAGCAACGCAGATCTGTGTGTGTGTCGGTGTGTGTACAGAGTAATCTCAAACAAAAGGTAACTTTCTACTCATTTTTTTTAGTTTGTAGAATATGTCATTTAAAAAGTCATTTAATCTTTGTATTTTAGGCAGGCCTGAACAAAATAGCCAGTAATAGGTATATATTTAAAAGTATACTACTACTAATAATAAAGAAATACAATCTTTAAAATCTGTTTTAATGTAAGGCAATAAAGTCTCAATCTGTGGAAGATAGTTTTTACACTTAAATCATATTAACAAAATCATTTTATCAGAAATAATAAAATATTCATTAGATCCTATTATATTGCCTAATTTTTTGTTCTGCAATAAAATATAATACAGTCATCACTCCTTGGTATCTGCGAGGAATTGGTCCCAGGATCCCTGCCTCCTGCATATACCCAAATCTGCAGGTGCTCAAATCCCTTACATAAAATGGCTTAGTGTGTGCATACAGCCTACACAAATCCCACATAATTTAAATAATCACTATATTACTTATAAGGTGTTCTGGTGGCATAGTGCCTAAGGCATTTGGCTACTAATCAGAAGGTCAGTGGTTAGCCTTTAAGGGTTTGCTTTGATCACCTAACTGCCTTTTTATTTTTTTTCAGTATTTTCAATCCACAGTTGGTTGGATCTGCAGATGCAAAACCCACAGATACAGAAGGCTGACTATATAAGATGACAGTGAAATTTTGCTTCTCAAAACAAGACATTTGTATCCGAAAAAAAAAAAAAATGCTTTCCATTTTAAAATTATACTTATGAATAGCAACAAACTGTCAGCATACAATAAAAATGTTTAAATGTGAGAAAAGATGCAAATATCTCAAACTGCAGAAAAAAAAACTTAAGTATAAACAGCATGCTTTTAATGAAAATTTCTACATGTGTATTAGAGTGAAAGAACAAACTTTGAATGCTTATTATTACCTTGACTGTATGCACCCATTGTTGATATGACCTCGGGCTCCCTGCAACATATAAAAATGAGATGCCAGGAATATTTGTTAAAAACAAATCCAAAAACCAAAATTAAGAACTAATATTTCAGCACTTTAGTAGATACATTTTATTTATCTGCAGTGTTGCAAAAGAAGCAATGACACTGTTGACTAATAAGTTGCTCTAATTCTTAGGAGCACAGTAATTAGCACTTTTAAGAAGAGACATTTTTCCTTTACTTATTTGTAAAGCTATTATATTTAAGTATTCTATCTCCTTTCAAGAGCTTTGGTCGTGCAGTGGTTCAAGCATTCACCTAATCAAAAGGCCAACAATGCGAACCTACCAGCCACTATACTAGAAGTGCTGGTGGTACAGTGCCTGAGGCATTTGAGAAGGTTAGTGGTTCAAGCCCACCAGCCACTCCGTAGAACAAGATAGGGCAATCTACTTCCATAAAGATTCACCGCCTCAGAAATCTAATGGGGGGGGGGGTCACTAAGTCAGAACTGACTAGGTGGCAGTGAGTTTGGTTTTGGTTAGCTGCTTTACAGGATAAAGAGGTAGCGATCTGCTTCTGTAAAGATTTAAACTTGGAAACTGTATTGAGCAGTTCTACTCTGTTCTAATAGGGTCACTATGACTCAGAATGGACTCAATAGCAGTGGATTTTTCACTTGTTTGTTTTGTTTTTAACTCCTTTCACTTAAAATTAGCTTCAAAGGAAGAAATATATAACCTCTCTCTTGAAATAAAAAACTTCTATGCCTTTTGATTTTTTTCAATGTGTTATATCTTACATTGTTTTGTAAAAGTTTGCCTCATATACAAATTAGGTTCATTTTAATACAATATTTTATTTAAAATAGAAAATATTGAAGAGAACATTGTTGGTAATAAGGATCATGCGTCAAACTTGTTGACCCACATGCTTTCTTAATAAATGGGTGAAATTTACATCACTTGTTTATCTCAATGTAAAAGTATAACAAACCAAAGTGTCATGTATCTTCTTTTTTTTCAAAAAAAGTCATATAAATAAAAAGATGAAATTTGTGTTAATATAGAAATATATATCTGTGTTGATGAGTTATTAGTGTTTGATTCAAGTACACAGGGAAATTTTAAAATCAGAATATTTAGAAATCCAAAAATAAAACTGGGGGACAGAAAAAAGTTATTCTCCTTTAATTGCCAAATTAAAATATAAATTATCAGGTAACTTAATTTAATGCCATTAAATTTCAGCTGTGTTGTTGTTGTTGTTGTTATTTGCCATCGAGTCGGCCCCGACTCATAGTGACCCCTCCTTGGGTTTCCGAGGCAGTATCACTATGGAAGTAGGAATGCCCAACCTTCCTTCCGAGGAGTGGCTGGTGGGTTTGAACTGCCAGCCTTCTGGTTAGCAGTCAAGTGCCTTAGGCACTATGCTACCAGAGCTGAAACTACTTTTCAGCTATAAATCTGTAAGTTTGGAAGATATTATCCAAGGAAATATGAAAGAACACAGTTCTCAGGCTACTGAGTATCCTAGTTAGTAGACAACTCAAATGTTGACAAAATTAGTTCTCATAAAATTGGTAATGACATATTCAGTTCCATACATGATAAATAATTTGGTTAGTAAGAAAGTATTAGAAGGCCAAAGAAAAGAAAAAAACAACCTCATCAAATGTAATGTTTTATACAACTGATTTCAGTTAGATTTCACCTACCTTCTTGCTTAAATGCTCAAAATCTCCCCAAAACACAAGTGCAAAAGTCACAATAAGAAACAAAGCCCCAGTGACTACTCAGACACTATCCATGAAGTACAAACAATCTCTAAGACAGATTGTGTTCTTCAAACAAATTGTGGTTGCTGCTTTTTAAAAATTCATCACTTTGTTATCCTTACAAAATACAGGCAGAATGTTTGAAATCCCAAAATTTCTTTCCAGTTGTTATCTTTGCATCCCTCTACTCAACATCAGGAAAAAAGTGTCCAGCTCTGAAGTCACTACAGGTAGTCCCCAATTTACAATGGTATTCTGTTCCAACACTATATCTTAAGTCAGTTCTAAGTTGAATGTCTCCTTTTATTTACTTTTTATTATTATTGTCTTTCAGTATCAATAGTCATAATCTTATTTGTACTTGTCTTTGGGGATTAGAAACATTGCATCTGAGAATAATAACAACAGCAATTATGTGCTGCAACATTGAATATAGTACATATTACTAATGGTAAGATGTAACAACAGCAAAAAGAAAAAAAAATAGTCAGCATGGTTCATCATAACTTGAATGTATCATAAGTCAGGGACAACCTGTGCTGTGTTCAAAATCTTTCTGTAATTGAAATATATAAATAAATAAATAGATCATGAAACAATCCTTCTGGAAAGTATCTCCATTACTTAGTACCTATTCTATGCAAAACTGAACAGAACACTGACCGGTCCTGCACCAGCCTCACAATCCTTGCTACATCTGAGCCCATCACTGCAGCCACTGTGTCTACCCATCTCGTTCAGGGCCTTCCCCTTTTCCACTGACCCTCCACTTTACCAAGCATTATATCCTTCTCCAGGGAGTAGTCCCTTCTGACAAAAGTAGTGTGACTAAGTCTGGCCAGTCTCACTTTCAAGGAGCATTCTGGCTGTACTTTTCCAGGATGGATTTGTTAGTTCTTCTGGCAGTCTGTGGTACCTTCAGCATTCTTCACCAACACCACAACTCAAAAGCATTAACTCTTCTTTAGTCTTCCTTTTTCACTGTCCAGCTTTCACATGCATATGAGGTGACTGAAAATACCGAGGCTTGGGTCAGGCTCACCTTAGTCATCAGACATCTTCACTCTTTAAAGTGGTCTTTTGCAGCAGATTTGCCCAGTGCAAAATGACGTCTGATTTCCTGATCACTGTTTCCATAGATGTTGATTGTAGAACCAAGTAATATGAAATCTTTGAAAACTTCAATCTTTTCTCCATTTACCATGATGTTGCTTACTGGTTCAGTTGTGAAGATTTTCATTTTCTTTATGGTAAGGTGCAATCCTTACTGCAGACTGTAGTCTTTAATCCCCATCAGTAAGTGCTTCGAGTCACCTTCACTTTCAGCAAGCAAAGTTGTGTCCTCTGCATACTGCAAGTTGTTAATGAGTTTCCTCAATCCTGATGCCACGTTCTGCTTCATATAGTCCAGCTTCTTGGATTATTTGCTCAGCATACAAAATGAATAAGAATGGTGAAAGGATACAACCCTGATGCACTCCCTTCCTGATTTTAAATCAAGCAATACCTGCTTGTTTTGTTTGAAGAATTCTACAAAGTGTTTTATTTTATTTCCCCCAAGAACTTAAGAAAGCAGAAGGGGAACATCACCGTGTACACACTAACAATTTGGAATTTTGGCACACCTGTTAATACAAGAAACCGAAAACCGAAAACCAAACCACTCCCATCAAGTCGATTCCAACTCATGGTGACCACCATAGGGTTTCCAAGGCTGTAAATCTTTATGGGAGTAGATTGTTCCATCTTCCTTCCGTGGAGCAGCTGGTGGGTTTGAACCACTGATATTCTGGTTAGCAGCCCACTGCCTTACCCACTGCATCAGCAGAACTCCTTATCAATGCAGAAAACAAAAATTTTAAAACCTCTGAACCCCAAAGAAAATAGCTACCATAAAACTTTAGAGTAGTTCTAAGAAAGTATGAGTCTACTGTTTAGAATTATGATGAATAAAAATAACCCACAGGTCACAAAATGTTTTTACCTACATTATAGTATCTGAACTGTAATCTTCTACTCTAAAATAGTAGATGTAGATAACATCACAGGCAGCAAGAACAGTTCTTTGAAAAGGAACTGGGCTTTGGAGTCAAAAGGACATGAGAGTTCAGGTTTAGTTTATCACTAGTGAAGTGTGTAGGAGCTCTGGTAGTACAGTGCGCAAGACATTTGACTGCTAACCAGAAGAAGTCTGGCAGTTCAAATCCACCAGCCACTCCTCGGAAGGAAGGTTGGGTAATCTACTTCCCTAGTGATCAAGGAGGGGTCGGATCTGGATCCCACTGGACAGCACATAACAACAAACAATAACAGTGAAGTGTGTGACTCCCAGTGAAGTGTGTGACTCCCCAGGGCCAGTTCCTTAATCTGGCTGAGCTTCAGCTTCTTCATTTATCAAATAAACATAATAATAGCCATTAATCTTCAGAATTACTGTGAGAATGAAAGCCAGTGATTAGATAAGGTTTAGCATTATAGCTGGTACATCACACACAAGCTGTAAATGTTAACCAGTCGCTGTTGAGTTGATTTTGGCCCATGGTGACTTGATGTGTGTCAGAGTAGAACTGTGCTCCACAGGGTTGCCAAGGGCTGATTTTTCAGAATTAGGCCAACCAGGCCTTTCTTCTGAGGCATCTTTGATTACTCATCCTCTCAACTTTCCAGTTAGCAACTGAGCGTGGACACTCTACAAATGTTAGTTATTACTAGAACTACTTTTCCAAATGAGGAAACTGATGTTCTGAGATGATCCATTGTTTGATCAAGTTCACAAATCTAGCTATTGGGAAAAAATGGTTAAGAATCCAGGTCTTTTATTTTCTAACTTCTTAGTCCTTCAACTATGAAACATTAAGAATGAAAATAAAATATAAATTTAAACTACAGAGATTTTCTTTGTTATTATTTCCCAAGGAATGACATAAAGGTAAAGGGGCTACTCAAAACTGATACCCTGAGAAGAGACAGTTACTGAAGAGAAGCACCAATAATAATCTAGAATTATTACCACAAAGGAAGTCCCTAAAAATAAATACACTGCCTAAGATAACAAGAAAACAGGTGCTACAATTTAGGTATATTCCTGCTAAAACACATTTTAAAAGGTTAATTGTCTCTTCAAATTTTGTTCCTTTTAAGATTCAAGTTTCATATTTCCATAGTATGTATAAGGCAAGCAAATTACTCTTGGGTGATGTTTAAAAAAATAAGACTGTTTCTCTTCTTAAAAATGAATTTGAATGTCAAACAAT